TGCTTCTAACTGATGAAAAGCCGAATAAGACAAGTTACCTTGTATTTCATGTATTGGCATTTGATACCAACCACAGCATGATGCCCAACGACGTTATTGCATCCAATTACAGTACGCCCGGGAATATCACCACCGACCACTGCACCACTGCCCGTAAAGTTTAGTACTTGCGTAAATTACGCATAAAACATGCATACTTCTAACAGAACCTCACAAATTAGTGAGAGGAAGACAACCAAAGTAAACTCACGTCCTAAAAATACAGTTGTTCCCCAATTCTGTATTTTGAAAACATTGGTTCGAAGGATGCAATCGACATCTATTCCCAAGCTTTGTTGAAGAACCATTGTACAAAAAGGACCTATTTGAGGTACCCAAATACAAATGCCCAGATAATGTAACTTAGGGTCAAGCCTCTTCATTCCACTCAGAAATCAGAAGGAAATGCAACTTACATTATATATACAGTAACATTAAACAATGGAAGCTGCAATTAAGAAATCAAGCAACCCAACTCAACAATAAAACGATATATATTATAAAATTTGCAAATCCAAATACTGACTACTACCACTAACCTTAGAATGTTGTAGAGATCTAAAATTTGCAGATCAAAGCACCACAACGGCAATGACTACAAGTGTGAACCAGGAATCCATTTTTCAAATTAAGCATTGAATATGTGCAAAGGATATCAGAATAATTTACATCCGAATGAATGGTGAAACTGATATAATGATCTTCTAACTGAATTCAACCTGTTTAATCAACTACCCTACAAATGAATCGAAACTTCATAAGTTTAAGGAAGTTAAATTGATTATTTGCATAAATAAAAATAAACAGCTCTAGTCATTGTTGATTCCAATTCGCAATTCCCTTTTTCAAAAAAGGAGGAAAAAAGTATGTGAAAACAGCAAGCAGGAAACTGTACCTGGAATTTCGGCAGCACGAGGCTCAGTGTCGCAATAAGTTTGTCTTAAAACAAAAGAAAAGAACGAACCGGCTTATCTGGGGTATATTGATTTTATGTTTGCAATGGCGATGGCCCGAGAAAGTCCCCCAATAGCATCAATACCTGCCCATACTCTGCCCTGTGCGACCTCTTCCATCTTTTCTACCTGTTCAATGATTCATGTTCAAGTCCCATTCGGAACATGACATTACGATCTAAACTGGAGATAAAAAGGATAAACATACAGTCATTGATCTCGAAGAAGCAGCCTTGTCTCGAAACTGTTTATAAGCATTCTGTGCAGACTGCAGAGTTTGCAAATAGCTCAGCTTCATCCGGTCTGGTATATATTAAGGTTAGTTCTCTATTATTTCATAAATAGAAAAGGAGCAATTGTTTTTTTGATCTAAATCCCCAAAGAGAACAGCTGTGAAAAGAGAATAATTAATAGATAAGAGTCAAACTCGGCTTTATAAGCACAATCTACACTATCACAACTCTCCAATATTTTTTTGAAGCACTCATGTCCAACACCCGTGTATCAGACACATATCGAAACATGGACATGAGCATATGATGCTTCTAAATATATGGAAAAACTTTAAAATTGTCAACCTACCCGTGTTGAACACATATCCATAACCGACACTCTCAGCTAGGTGCAAGTAACATACATAACAATATCAAAATATACTGAATCTTGACATCTACTCACTTTCTATCAAAACAAATATGCAACAATGGCATTCACCTAAAGGCCGCTGCTCGCTGCAAGAAGTTCAGCATATCTTCCCCTTGATATGACCTCTTTATTGAAGCCAATTTTTTCATATAGTTTCCCCAAGTTAACTTCCCTGCAAGCAAGAGGAGGGAAACAAAGTGATGATTTTATGACTTGCAAAATCCAAGAGGCCTATGTAGGAATCTGACATTTCTGGTTTTCAGCCACAAGCAATTTGTTCAAAGAAACAAGGAAAGGGTCAATTTGTTCGACAAGGGCATTCAAAGTTACAAAAAATACAACAGCAAGCCAGTACAAAATGAGATATAAGGTAAGGATATGACCATTTCATGTTTCAGATTTATGCAGCTGCTAAACTGGTATGAGGCTTGGAGATTTTAGTTTTGGAGGACAGATTCAATGGAATAATATTATATTTTCAAAGTTTTTAAAGAAATTTTAAAACTTTGTTATAAGTTTCAGATGATGGAGAGGCCAAAAGAGTTTGGTAACTCAATCTTTTGGATTTGTAATAGTTTTTCCCAGACCACAGAAAATTCCTCTTGCTTATCAAATTTCAGAGAGTTAGCTCACCTGTGACAACTCCAATTGAACCAGTTAAAGTCAAATTTTCAATAACGATTGTTTCAGCTGCCATAGCCATATAATATCCCCCACTAGCTGCCACATCGGACATGGATGCGATGACAGGTTTCGATGCAGCTAAAAGTCTGATTTCCCTCCACATTCTGGATATTGTTAACATAACCTATAGTGAGCAAACAGAAATGGTAGATTGTTTTCTTTCGCATTCGATTATGTATTTCAAGAAATCAAATTTCTGAATATCATCACATAATACCCAAGTTTCAACATGATAGATAAAGGGTTGAAAAACAAGGATGATAACTCATATCAGACAATTTATTTAAATTCTCGAGTTTAGAAGTTTTAGGTTTTATAGAAAGATGTCATATACCACTTCACATACAATATTGCATGGATACCAAAAGCTCATACATCCTTAATCGTTTTAACAATCACTAAATCCCCAAATGAGAATTCATTAGGAAAGACAATCTTACAAGTACTTACAAATCTGAAGCAAGAGCATCACCACCAGGGCTGTCAATTCGTATGATAGCAGCCTTGTATTTTTTTGATTCTACGGTAAAATAAAATTTTATTTAAAAAAGTTCACTTTGAAGGCGGTAAAATTTTTATTTTAAACATCAATCACATGGAATGAAATTATATGTGAATAAAACTTAACCTCATACATGTAAAGTTCAGAGTCGGATTTTATTTCATCTACTAATTATTGTATGCAAGGAAAAATGAGGTATACCTCAGACCCTATGGATCTTCTCAATGATCTGCTCTGCAATGATACCAAAACTAGTACTTAATGGACTTCGCACACGGCTAATGCTCCAGAGGCTCTGATCAAAGCTGTTAGGTCTCCACCACCTGTTAAACCGAGTGTCCACTTCCTAACTTTGGAGTATTTCCTACATTTACAGAGGAAGAAAACTCTTTGTAAAATGTGTTGAGAAATTTAAATAGCAAGAAATGACATAAATGATAAACTAGTTTTGGTCCAAAATATATCATCTCCAAAGGACAAAAACAGCATATATAAGATACATATAATGGAAATTCATAAAAAGATCAAGAAATAATAGAGAAATTCATTGCGCTTAAGATTATTTGGGGAAAAAGAAAAATGACAGAACCCACTTGTAATCAACCATATGGAGAATTTTATCCTTTTGAACACAAAGCCTCTCTTTTAACATCGAGATAAACTGCAGAAGTAACAAAACATCAAATATTAGTCGTATAAATCCAGATAGCTAACTTAAGAACAAAACTATATACCAAACTGTTACAAAACTCAACATTCTTCAATATATGGTACAAGGAAGGCAAACAGTCTGTTTGAATTGCCTGAGATAGGTCTGTGTTAGTTTGATTAGGGTGTGAGTGTTGGACAAGGATATGCATCCGACAAAGGTATGTTCACAACCAAAAATGGTACATACCAGAATAGCAGCAACACAGAAACAACATTGCGATAGAAGTTGTAAAGAACTAAGTAAACAACGAGCTGATAATTCCAGTGACCATGCACCAACATGTAAACTATAGAAAATAATGAAGCCACTAGAGAAAAATCTAAACACAGCAAATAATCAAAAAAGACTCACCGTCAGCAATAGCTAGTGTCATGTCATCAATGCGACTTTTGATAAGATCCACAATCTGAGCTTTTTGAAATGGCGCAACACGACAACAGAGAACTACGCTACAGGAAGTTGCAATGTCGAAAAGCTGTTGAAGATGTGTAAGTAAATTGAAATATTCAGGAATGAAAAACATGACAATAAATACAATATAAAGCAAGTCCAAAAATTGGTTCATAGATTGAACCATCTACGACACTGTCCTCGAATCAGAATACTGTAATTTGACAACCTCATATTCAGCCATTTCAAAGGATCCTAGAAAACACAACACCTCTATCAAATCATGGGATACCAGAAACACCACATGACCCGTGAAGAAGAAGAAGCAGAGAAACTGCGAAACCAACAAAAATGGGATCTATTGAAAAATCGAGAAGATGGTATGGTGCAGAAGAAAAGGAGGAAGACCCGGATAAGGAAATGGTTAAAGGATTCGAAGAATTGAAGAAGGAACGGTGTGAAGTTGATGGGAAGTAAGATTGAATGTTTAAGCAATTAGAATCGGCAAAGCTAAAATGAAGTTCCTGGGCAGAAGAAAACAAAGGGAACGCATAAAATCAAAGGCAGAGTTTAGTTCCTTCGGCCCATGTTCTGTTGCAGCTGCAAGTGTGGGTGGGCATGCGGCTGCCTCTAATCTTCCACACACGCATGAAGAAACTAAGGGTGGTGGGCGGGCTTTTGGTTACGGGCTTGTTTTTGGGTTTAAGATTTGGGTTCAACATAGATAGAACATTTGCTCTATAATAAACAATAAATAATGGCTATAGAAGATACTTATCCAAATATGAGAAAACAAAAGCAATTATTGAAACAATTGAGTTTATCCCAAGCAATAGACAGTGCATTGCTTACTTGTCAACATAAATATGCTTCACCCAGCCATATTTGTTGCATTCTTCTTCAACATCCTCTTTAATATCCAAGTCAAAATCTGGTTCCTTCTGGCAATAAAACTTGCAGAAAATTAAGTATCTTGTACAAGGAAGCAGAAAAGAACACAGGAAGTTACAGTGAAATAACATGTTTAGAACAGGAAAATTTAAACCTCAGTTGCAGGATCAAACATATTCTTCAACAGCCAACACTCACTGAGCTGTCCAATAAGATCAAGGGGTATAGTAGACTTGATGGTGGTAGAACTGGTGTCGGATATGCACCCTGGCCATTGATAGGTAATGTAACAGTCTGTTGAGCTGGAGCAGACCCATTAACGAGGGATAATCCAAGGGATCCCGTAATGCTGTAAAACTATTACATTACATTATGATATGATTAAAAACTGGATAGGATTATCCGGAAGGGTAAACGAACCTTGTTGCAATACCAGAGCGATCCAGTTTCTGCATAAGCAATGCTCTTGATTGAGCATTCAAAGCCTGGATAAAAGATAAACGGGCAAAAAAACACCCACAACAATACTATAAGAATGAAACGAACTAGGAACAAACCTATAAAAATCAACATTCTTTAAATACTACTGTATACAATAATATGCATTTCAACTTACCAAGCCACCCCCTCATCATCATCAAAATCTGCAGCTTTTGTTGTAGCATCTTGAGAAAAGAAAAAAACCCAGAAAGTCCAGGTTCCAAGCAATGAAAAAGAAGAAGAAGAAGAAGAATAGGTGGTGTGAAACAAAACCGAAAGCCAGCTAAGAAGCAAAACCCAGACAACATGACATGCATTCAACGATTGAAATCAAGACCATGAGAAGGACGGGGAGGAAAGGAGAGACCCAATTTTAGTTAAGAAACACCAAATACACAAATTTGTTCTATAAAGTTTTCTCAAGTTGACTTGTTGTGTTCATCTTGGTGTTGATGTTGAAGTGAGGAGCGAAGAAGAAGATGGTGAATTCTTTGCAATGAATAAATGGCACTGAGAAAAATGAGTAAGCAATTAAAATCCAAAGAAACGAAGGCTATGAAAGCAATTAAAAGGGGAGAAAGCAAACCGGCTTTGAGCTCACGGGCTTGGCGTTCTTCAGCTTCTTTCCAACGAATCGATGTTAAAACCATGAACCTTCTCCATTTCATTCTTCCTTAATCTGTCAGATTGTTGCTGCTGCTATTGAATACTCGGGAATGACAGTGAAACTGAAAGAAATTAAGTGGCGCTCAGAGAATTTTTCCAAATGCACCAAAACAGACATTGATAGAAGCTTATAAAACTAAAAGAAAAAACAAGAACAAACAAAACCCAAACCAGGAATATTGAAGAGACCAATAAAAATATGGAAAATTCACTTCCCCATGCTCCGCCTCCGCAAAGCCACCTTCATCATCACCAACCAAAAGGAAAACAAGTTAAAAATTAGAGCTTTCGAAGTAAGAACCCAGAAAACCAAATGCTCAAAACGATCACACAAGAAGAAATGAAAGGAAATAGAAAAACAGACCTGGAAAATTAAGCTGGTTACAGATGGTTTGAGAAACCATGGCAGCTTCCTTGTCGATAACAAATTCCATCCCTTCATCTTTTCTTTGAGATCGCAAAAGAGTTTCGTTCGTATATCTTAACCAACACAAGTGAAAATAGAGAAAGAACGTAATCCCACATCCGGAGAGAAAATAGACTAGGAATGGTATTTAACTAGAAAGCAAATAAAGCAGGCATATACACGGTTGTTGGTGTTGGGCTTTTTGGTAACGGGCTTGCTTTTGCGGGGTTTGGGGTTTATTTGTTTTATAAATGATTCTAGTGTGTTATGAATATAGGTGGGTTTAGTATTGTTGTGTTGCGGTTTTAACGAGTGCTGATAAGTTGATATTTTGTATTTTAAAATTTAAATTTATTACATGATTAATTCATGTTATTAAATTTTATTGTGTCAAATATATTATTCAATTATTAAAATTTTTGTTGAAATAAAATCTGAATTTGATTTTGACAATTTTTCTCCTTCCGTTGTGATAATAATAAGTTTATAAATAGAAAAATAAATGCTTTTTCTATGAAATTTATTTATTTTTTCATGAAAAAATATTTGATATATTAACAATATAATGAATTTTCTTGTCTCGTCAGTTAATCACAATACATTATATTACTAATTAAAAAACATATTAAATAAATATTCATGAATTTGCTTTTGATCTCTGTGTTTAATATTAAGTGGAAACGATGGTTGAATTGTCTTGCATGAACTGAATTTCATAGGAATTTATTTGTTTTATAAATGATTTGACCATAGCTCTAGTGTGTTATGAATATAGGTGGTCCTAGTATTGTTGTGTTGCGGTTTTAACGAGTGCATATAGTATTAGATGGCATGTTAGTTGTTTGTATTGCACCATTGTTAAAGGTGTTAGTAGTTGATTAGAAGGGTTAAAAATGCCGGACAAACAAAATAATTTCCCTGGACATAATGATACAAAGCAAGCAAAACAATGATTTTTAAATCATCAAAACATATCTCGAACAAGACAAGAACAACGAACCACGACAGTACGGTAGAAACATAAATGAAAAAAGAAGATGCTACATGCATATACATTTGAGAGAGAGCGTACTATGCGTTTTATGTAGTTCTAAATGTTATTTAGTGATATCATTCCCATAATCGTTGGATATGATGTTTGCGCAGATTATATGAAATAGATAAATGTAATGTATTGCTCTTTCAAGGTCAAATTGAATGTGCCAATGATTTTATACCTGGTTCAGATGTGAGCTCACCAAAGTCACAACAATATCATTGTATCTTCTGCGGACACCCAGATAGCAAAAAGACTCATTTTAAGTCTTCTTGTGAGTATTGTATCATCAAACCCTAATAATTTTGATCTCAAATTGTTTGTTCACCACGAAATCACATATTGGTGTCATTTTGCGATACTAATATACATGATTTGATAAAGAAATCAAATTATAGAATGAAAGGTAAATTGAGTTCAAATGTTTTTAACAGAAGAAGTAATTAAATTGTTAATACAGAAATGATTAAGAAAAAATGTTCAATGGAAGCCATATAAAGTTCATGTATCCCCTGTAAAACAACTGGTACAAATTTAGCTAGTTCAATGTATCCCCTTGACTTATGTCTAAATCCACAAAGGTAGGTTTCCAACCTAGTTTAGCTGCCCAACTAAGAAGCATCCTCGATAAGCTGCTCTTCCCAGAATCTGGAGGCCCCACAATAATCACTCTTGGTCGATAAGAATACCTGGGATGCCTCGGAATCATCCGGAAACGAAGCTTTAGCACGGTTTCTTCTTACTTCTAGTACAGCATGTAAATTCACGTAACTGTTCATAGGTGTCTGCAAATCAGCCATTGCAACAGAATCAGCAATATCTATGTACAATTTCAAAACTGATGCATGTATGTATGTACCTCATCAGCTGTATAATCGGTTTCAGTATCACCATCAATCTCAATTGTAGCACCATGCCAAGTGAAAACCTATTAATGAACAAAATTCTCACGCTATAAACAAATCAAGAATGCTAGGAAAGAAGCAAAATGTTGTAATGTAACTCCCTCTATCAAAGATAAACAAAAAACAAGATTGCGGCTAAAGATCGGTTATTTGTTTCCAAGGAAAAGAACGTTTGAAACTTACGGCGAACTTGAAGCGATGAGGGAAAGTGTTCCACAATTGGGGGCACAATTCGGTGCCAAAATCTCCGCTGTGCCGTTAAGTAATTGAAGTTCCACAAACAAACTAACTGCTTAACAAAATCTCCATTGATGGAGGGAGGCACCTTTGCCAAAAAATCAGCAGGGAAGTTTACTCCGTGACGAATCAAGATAAATTCAACGAACCATACCTTGGAAGTAAATTGAGATATAGCTCGGACAAGAGCGAGAGGGCTCAAATGAGCAATAGGCGACGTAACAAGTTTGAATGCTTTCCCACAGTCAGTTTGACATTGTAACCACTAAACCGGAAGACCGCACTACGTAAGCCTTCAAGTATGCCCCAAAAATTGTTAGGAAAATAGACCTCTTGTAATCCAACAATCCCTTTAGATCACAACAATAACAAAAATACTTGAAAAATAAAAGAGAGAAAAACACAATAATTTAACGTGGAAAACTCCCAAATGGAAAAAAACCACAAGCGTTGTAAAAAACAACCAAGAGAATAAATATTTACTATGTGGAAAATTATTACAACCACACTACAAAATATTTAACTTTCACACATGCCCAAAAGTTAAAGTACACCCCAAGAGAATTCTCCTTTAAATTCTCTACTAGTATAACTAATAGCTTTCTAGTACACCATTTGTATTTTGGTGATTGACATTCATTTAATCAAAGGGAAATGTTCTATTTATAGGCTAAGAATTTTTCCATCCTTTGTTCATTTCCAATGTGGGATTTGGCCAATTTTTGCCAAAAAAAACTAACAAACTCGGCATGGAGAGGATGGGAAATTCCAACATATTTATTAAACCCAACCAGCCAGTTGCCTTGACAGTCTCGAATAAGACCTCCCCTTGAAGCTATAGAAGAAGGAACAGAAACGGATCCATCCGTGTTGAGAGTGACCCATCTTGTAGGAGCAGGATTCCATCGGACTTCCTTTGTATAGTAGAAGAAGGCAAACTAGAATCAAGTTGATGGTGATTCTTCTGAAAGTAAGAAACCCAAGATTTGCTTTGATGGAGAAGTGTTTTGTTCGATGTGGTTTGTCCCCAGAAAATCGTGGAGTTACGACGCTTCCAGACGTGCTAAGAAATGGAAGCAAAAATGATACGCCAATAAATTCCAGTACCTGCGAGGAGAATGTTTGAAAAAATTCAGTCATCAATTGGCTGTGAGAAGAAACGGTTGTGATGATGTTGCTAAAGGATAGACATCCAAAGAATTTTAGTTTCTTTGCAGTCTCTAAGGATGTGAATAGCAGATTCCTCGACTGCACCGCAGATGGAGCAAGCAGGATCATCAGTAAGGTTACCGTGCCAACGAGACTGATTAGAGAGCAGTTTATATCTGACCGAAAGGCAAAGAAAATATTTGATTATCTCCTGAACAGGAAGCTTCCAAATAAGGCTCCATTTAGTATTGCATTTGTCCCAGGCAGAATCCGAGAGCTTGTGATAGGCGTATTTTATTGAGAATTGTCCATGATTACCATATTCCCAATAGCAAAAGTCAGTACCAATGGTCGAACTTGGGCAATGAATGTTCATGATAAAAGGAACTACATCAGGGGAGATAAGTTGATGAAGCAAGGGCCAATTCCACTCACCTTCAAGAGATAAAGTATCACAAACAAGAAGATTATCAATGGCAGTGGCAGTAGGATTTTTTCAATTGATGAGGGGACCAAGTTGAGGCACCCAAATGTCATACCAAGAGTGAGTAAGGGATCCATCACCAATTGACCAAGCGAGGGAGCCATGAAATGAAGGCTAAATTCTGGCAATTGCACGCCATAAGTGAGAGTAGTTTGCTCTTTGGATGGATGAAGGACAAAGATCTTATATTTCTTTTCTGACGCAAGAGCTTCACCCAAAAGCTGTTAGGATTTGAGATAAGAGCCAGTAACTTAAGATGAAAAGCAATATTCTGTTTGTGGGGATTTCTTATTCCAAGCCCCCATATTTCCGAGGTTGGCTAAGAATTTCCCAACGAACTAGAGGGATACCATGGGCAGTGGAAATCTGTCTCCAAATAAAATTGCGAATTAGCCTCTCAGTTTCATCACAAATACGGGAAGGAAAAAGACAAGTTTGCATGTAGTAAGTAGACAGAGCATTAAGAATGGAGTTAGTTAAAGTCACCCGGCCAGGTAAGGACAGGAAATTGGAAGATCATCCAACTAACTTTTGATTCTTTTTGATTAACCTATTGATCACATTAATGATTGTAAAAATATAAATACAGATAGTTTTTCCTTCACATAACAGGAAAAAAAAAATCAGTCTGGAACCATCATATCTTTGTTGATCTGAAAGTATTCCTAAGTGCTACAAGATCATTATCTTTGAATCTGCAAACATTTTTTATGCCTATACAAATCAAGTAGAAATATTTGATATGCACCAGACAAGTTAAGAATGTATTTTGCTAAGACTATTGACTCAACACATTCGAATGACATGTGATTTGTTCCCACGTGACTACAAGATTTCAACTATCTTTTATGAAGATAATGTAGAATGTAGGACTCGGTTCGTATCTTTAATAATCGGAAGAATTAAAAAAAAAAGCAACACCTTATAGTAGAAGGATAATCAGACGATCGTTTTGTAATTTTTAATAATCAGTGACTCAACAAAATATCTTATAATCGAGGGATCATTTGTGTACTTCACCCTATTAAAAATAACCAAATTAAAGTACAACTAGATTCTCAAATTTCACATTATACAAGGGCTAATAGAAGATTTTGACCCAAGTTAAAATGCGCATTTCTAACATCCACTTACTTTCATTCAACCATTTTACTCAACAAAACATCCATTTACTTATATCCCCATATCAAAAACATGTAAATGAAATAAAAAAACAGCCAGGGATAAGCCTAAACTCAATGCTAAGGTTGGCTAGCATTCGGCTTCGGTGACAGGTAATGATGGTTATTATGATACGGAGAGGTTTGCTGGCCATTTGGAGTGAGGGGACTCCTTGCAGATTGTACACCCCTCGTTGACAAGGCCGCCGGCACTCTATTTCCGGTTCTAGCTTTTGAAGTCGATGCCGTGCGCTCGATTTGTATGGCTTGGAACTGAGAAGAAGAACAAGCCATGTCCTTGAGATTTGGCAGAGGTTTTAAGGCTTCAACAACTTCACTCATCAAGGGTCTGGCTTTCGGATCACGGCTAAGGCAATGGGCAGCCAATTGAAAAGCTCTCTGACCACTGTCCTTCAAGACGGGGATCAAGAAGCCGATAAAATCTTCGTCTCTCTGCGAGATAGGGACAAGCCCATTCCACCAAGTTATGCTCTTCATTTGGTCGGTTTTTGTCCATTGATCTTCGGCCCATCAACATCTCAAGGAGAACCACCCCAAAGCTATAGACATCACTCTTCGAAGTAAGATGCCCTGGAAAAATATGGCCCTCTTAGGTCAAAATGTTTCTTATTTCATTCTTCCATTCTTTTTACAAGGGAAAACAGGCCGTAGTTGCATATACAGCTCATAAAATCTTATAATCTGGTTAATGTTTATGATATCGATAAATTGACATAACATCACCAATATTTGTCAAAATCTTAGAAAAAGTTAAACCGTATGTACCTGTCATAAAATATTCAGGTGCTGCATAGCCATAGGTTCCCATAACACGAGTAGATACGTGAGTCTTATCTCCCACCAGACCATCTTTCGCGAGTCCAAAGTCGGAAAGTTTGGCATTGTAATCCTGGAGAAGATTTCAAAAGATTTGAGAAGATGGATGATACACGTTAAAGAGCATGAAATTATCTTTATACCATATTAGTCACACACCGCATCTAACAGTATATTTGATGTTTTAAAGTCCCGATATATTACTGGCCGTTCAGCCTCCTAATGAAGAAAAGCAAGACCCTTCACGGCACCGAGTGCAATTTTCATTCGGATGGACCAAGGAAGAGGCATGGACCCTGATAAAATGAATGCCACTAAACTAAATCAGAACAAACTATCACTATTTCACAAGACAGATTGCAATTGTGAACCAAAACAGTACGTTACAAAAAGAAAATTGCTTTTATATCTCCATGTTATCGATGACTGAAACCGTTACTCCTTCCTAGTTGTTTGTAAATGAGAACAAAACTTCTTGAACACCGTACCATTTTCGGTTAATTTGAGGGGCATCGAACTGAAGATAGAAAAAAAAAGTGATTGTAACAATTATTGTAGCAATCAACCATATAGTGTAATCAACATCCAACACTGAGGCCGAATTCCAGCACAAAAATATTGAAATATCTTAAAAGATAAGTTGTTAGCCCTATTCCTTGATATATATAAGCTCGTTTATTTTGGATGCTCGAGTATTTCCTGTGTAAGCTAAGACTATACAGTTGGCTATCGACTTAGTTAGGTAGAATCTTTACCAATTATGGGCAGACAAGCAAGACAAGTTGATAAAATATCTAATTCTCTATTAATGAGTTTAATTACATACTTCGGAAAAGGTGATTCTAAAAGCTTCCTCTAGGCATAAACTCGTAGACAAGTAGCCTTTGATCATCCTCAATGCAATAACCAATCAACTTGACCAAATTAGAATGGAGGAGATTACCGAGATAATTAACTTCTTAAGCTCGTTAAAGGAGAATGTTCTAAGCTGAGAAGCAACTTGAAGCTCCTCACGTAAGTATGGAGTCGATGGAGTACTTTCAGCATTGGTAGTAGTTGAAGATGTCATAACAGGAACAACTGGTTGACCTCTGCTGGTGTCATTGGACTTATTTGCTGTGTCATTTGACTCATTTGTTGATTTACTTTCAGTTGATTTCCTCAAAAACAGTGAAAAAAAATAGATCGTCCGGGCCATAAACAAGTGAATTTACATACATCACACAGATTTTCACACACAAACAACATGGTTATTCAAAATGTATAAATAGATACATACGACTAGTCGTAATAAGAAATAAACAGAGAAACCTTGTGTCTTATCACATTATATGCCTTCAAAACTAGGGGCAAACACGAGAGAATGACCACGTGGTTGAACCCCAAGGAATAAATCACAATTTCATTTCATTATGTATTAGACGACAAATAAAAATACGAAAATCTCGGTGATCAAAAGTAGAAGCGAATTTGACAGTTTGCGAAACTACCATCCATCAAATACGCAGAAATGGAAAATAATCAGTGCAATAGTAAAGCAAGAGATTCAGATCAATAGCAATATCGAAACGGACATAATTGCTGATTAAAGCATAGAACCAAATCGATCAACATTATACGATACATTGAACATCCACGTGATAGAAAATGTATACAGTAAACATATCAACATATACTTAAAAGGCCAAACAACATACAAAAGCAACAATATTATGCATTAGAAGACAAATAAGAAACTACAAGCTGATAATCCTAAAGTATAAAGTACAAGAGAAATGTACAACAAGAAAGCAATCATTGCAAACTAGTACAGAAAGAGAAATCAATATCTTTGCTAAAGCATAAAACCAAATCGATCGACAGCATATTCTCATCGAACACACATGTGACGACATACAGTTTAGAAAATCAACTTACAATTAGAAAGACAAATGATGGACAAAAGATAAACTAATCAGATAAGCGTAAGTAAATTCAA